GGAGGCATCACCATCCCTGACTTCAAGCTCTACTACAGAGCTATAGTCCGGAAAACAGCTTGGTATTGGGACAAAAATAGACGGGTAGACCAATGGAATCTAGTTGAAAACCCTGATATTAACCCACACACCTATGAACACCTGATTTTTGATAAACAATCCAAATCTATACGATGGAACAAAGAGAACATCTTCAGCCAATAGTTGAAGACCATTTGTTGCAGACATGTAGAAGACTGCAGTTAGACCCAAGCCTATCTATCGCCTTGAACAAAACTTAAGTCAAAATGGATCAAAGATCTCAACATAAATCCAGCTACACTGAACCTCTTAGAAGACAAAGTGGGAAATACCTTTGAATTAATTGTTACAGGAGACTGATTCCTGAACCAGTAGCACAGACACTGAGGTCAACAATTGATAAATGGGACCTCCTGAAACTGAGAAGCTTCTGTAAGGCAAAGGAGACAATCAGCAGGACAAAACAGCAGCCCACAGACTGGGAAATGATATTCACCAACCCCACATCTAATAGAGGGCTTATCTCCAAAATATACAAAGAACTCAAGAAGCTAGTCTCCAAAACACCAAACAATCCAATTAAGAAGTGGGGTACAGAACTAAGTAGACAAGTCTCAATAGAGGAATCTAAAATGGCTGAAAGACACATAAGAAAGTGTTCAACATCCTTAGCCATCAGGGAAATGCAAATCAAAACAACTCTGAGATACCATCTTACTCCTGTCAGAATGGCCAAAATAAAAACACCAATGACAGTTCATGTTGGAGAGGATGTGGAGAAAGGGGAACACTTCTCCACTGCTGGTGGGAGTGCCAACTTGTACAGCCAGTTTGGAAATCAGTATGGGGACTCCTCAAAAAAATGGGAATGAGTCTACCACAAGATCCAGCAATTCCACTCTTAGGCATATACCCAAAAGAAGCACAGTCATACCACAAGGACATCTGTTCAACGATGTTCATAGCAGCACTATTTGTAATAGCCAGAAACTGGACGCAGCCTAGATGCCCCTCAACCGAAGAATGGATAGAGAAAATGTGGTACATTTACACAATGGAGTACTACTCAGAGGAAAAAAGCAATGGAATCTTGAAATTTTCAGGAAAATGGATGGATCCAGAAGAAACCATTCTGAGTGAGGTAACACAATTGCAGAAAGACAAACATGGTATGTACTCACTCATATGCAAATTTTAGACATAGAGTAAGGATTACCAGCCTACAATCCATACTGCCAAAGAAGCTAATAAACAAGGAGGACCCTAAGAGAAACATACATGGTCCCTTGTAGAAGGGGAGAGGGTCAAGATCTGCTGAGCAAATTGGGAGCACGGGAAGAGGGGGGATGGAGCTAGGAGAATGAGAAGGGGAGAAAAAGAGGGATGCAGAGGACATGAGGGAACAGAAAGTATGAATGGGGGAAGAATAGATGATAACAAGAAAGGATATATCTTTTCTTTTTTAAAAAAAGATGTTTAAGAAGTTTGGGAATTTTATCTAGTAACATTTTCAGAAGTGAGTGATCCTAACAAACTTACAACCATCCTTTAGTAAGTCCTGCATCTTGTCCAAAAGGAAGAAAGTCAGAACTAAAAAAAAAACCTAAACATCAAGAAAACAAATAATCCAATTAAAAAACGGGGTACATAACTAAGCAGAGAGTTCTCATAAGATGAAACACAAATGTCTGAGAAACACTTAAAGAAATGTTCAACATACTTAGCCAATAGGGAAGTGCAAATTAAAACTACTTGGAGATTTTATCTTACTCCAGTCAGCATGGCCAAGGTCAATAAAATAAATGACTTCACATTCTGGCAAGGTTGTAGGGAAAGAGAAACACTTATTCACTGCTGGTCAGATTGCAAACTTGTACATCAATGTGGAAATTAGTGTGACAGTTCCTTAGGAAGGTGAAAATAGATCCATTCAAGATCCATTAGTACCACTCTTGGGCATACACCCAAAGGACGCTACATCCTACTACAGAGACCCTTGTTGCTGAGCTATTCATAAGAGCCAGAAATTAGAAAGAGCCTCGATGTCCATCAACTGATGAATGAATATTGAAAATGTGGTACATTTATAGAAATAAATATGATTCAGATGCTAAGGAAAATGAAATTTTCAGGTAAATAGATTGAGCTAGAAAAAAATAATCTTCAGTGAGCTAACCTGGAGTCCAAAAGACAAATATTGTATGTGTTCTCTCATATGTGGGTGTTACCTTTTAGCTTTCAAAATATGCTACAATCTGAATAAGCACAGAGGTCAGGTACCTGGTAAGAGCCCAGGGAGAAGGAGAGGTTCTTCCATGGAGGGAGGAAATACGTGTAGTGTTATGGAGAGATAGAGGGGAAACTTGAATATGAGGATTAAATAGGGATGGAGATAGAAGGGTAAAAGAGGGAATATGGAGAGTGACAACACCTAAAGGACATTTGAAAAGCAATATGAAAACCTACTACTATAGAAGTTCTTAAAATATGTACATATAGAAGAAATCTAAATAAGTCACCAAATAATAGGAGTAGCAATGCCTCAAATAGACATCTTATCTCACCAAATAAATCCCCCAGTGCCAGGAATGTGTTTCATCTTGTTTAGTCACTGAACAAAGGGGTATCATAAAACCTCTCCAAATAGCATAGGCTATTTCCAATGCTATTTCTTTCTGTCTACAACCTTATTGTAAGACCCTACTGCAAAGACAACACTTATTTATGTCATAGAACTCTTGGAAAAGTAGAGATGGTGCCCAACTAAAAGCTTCACCCCTATTAAGTAGCTTTCTTGGTACTAGAAGAAGCTCTGAACACTTCCAGAGGAGAAAGGTGATGATCAGTGTCATTCAGCTATAAATCCTGTCTACTGTGACCTGTCTACAGTATATGCTGGTGCAATAGTGGCTCAAGTGTTATGGGAGTAGCCAGCAACTTTTTTTTTTTAAATTGGATTTAAAACATACTCTATGAGATATATCCCTGACACTGCTAAAGTGCCAAGAGCCTCAGACTAAATTGGTCATGGGCTTAGGGAAATAGCCTACTACTATTGCTCTGCTAAAGGAAACAGTAATAAAATGACTCCTAATTACATACTGCTATACCCACAGATCAGTGCTTCGATCAGCCCACATCAGAGAAGCTTCTTTTTGCAGTAGATGGGAATTAACACAGAAACCCACAACTGAACAATACACAGAGAATAACAGACTTTGAAGCACCCAGTCCTAAATGGGATGTCCTAATCAAACCCCTCCCCTCAAGGTTCTGAGATCTTTGTAGAAGAGGAGGTAGAAAGATAGTAAGAACCAGAGGTGGTGAATGACTCCAAGGAAACAGTGTTTCCTTGTTCATATGTACTGATGCACATATGAACTCACAGAGACCGTGGCAACATACAGAAACCTGCACAGATTCAAGGTAGACAGGGTCCCAGCACTGAAAAAGGGTAGTAGACCTGGGTTCTCACCACAACCAAGAAACTATCTGCAACCAATACCCACTGTCAAAAGGAAAACCAATGTTCTCTAGTGCAGTCTCACTTGGTATGTGAACCACATTCAAGGACAGACCCCATGACCAGGAATAGTTGGCTAACACAAACCAATTCCATGTTTTTGTGCAGACATTTTAGTTTCATTTTGCTTTGGCATTTTTTTTTTTGGTCTTACTGATGTTTTGTTAATTTCTTCTGATTTTTTATTTTTGTGATTTTTTTGAAAGAGAGCATGAAGTTGGGTGGGTAGTGAGGTAGGGAACTGGGAAGGATCTGGGAGGATTAAGGGAGGGGAAACATCAAAATATATTGTATGAAAGAAGTTTGTTAAATAAAGAGAAAAAAAGAAAATCAAATCAATACAATGAAAGAGTGATTGAGATGCACATTTTATTGACAACTAACTTCCTACTCACTGGCTTTTTTTTTTTTTTTTTCTTTTTGTACTTGCTGACTTCACATCCAGACAATGAATTGTTCAGACCTCAGAGAAAGAAAAACCTTCATTGTTTTCTCAGCTATGAAGGGCTGTCAGTGGTTGAGGGAGGGATAATGAGAGAAATGTCTTCTGGATTACAATTCCCATGAGTAGGCATGATTAGAAAGATTTAGTTTATTCTCCTTCCATCGGATTGTGGGGCTACCTCAACTTGCAACTGGAAGCCAAGCTCTTTCTTGAGTAACATACAGATATACTACTACCATGAAGCCAATGAAGGAACTTTTTGTAGGGTTCCCAACCTTCCTAATTCTGAGACCCTTTAATACAGTTCCTCATCTTGTGGCGACCCCAACCATAAAATTATTTCATTGCTACTTCATAACTGTGATTTTGCTACTTTTATGAATTGTAATATAAATATCTGATATGTAGGATATCTGAGCTACAATCCCGAAGGAATTGTGACCCACAGGTTGAGAACCATTGCCCTAATGGGTAGAGGTGACAGGCAAAAACAACATGAGAGAGGAATTGTGTGTGTGCACACATGCTCCTGCATGCATTTGCATGTGTGTGTTTTAAGAGACTGTCTTAGAGGCATAGTTAATTCCAAACATCTGAGCCCACAAAGCATTTCCAAGCAATGGTGGAAGGCTTTGATAGTTTGAATTGGAAAAAAATATTCAAGCTGATCGGGGTGGTGGTGGTGCACACCTCTAATCCCAGCACTTGGGAGGCAGAGGCAGGCAGATCTCTGTGAGTTTGAGACCAGCCTGATCTACAAGAGCTAGTTCCAGGACAGCCTCCAAAGCCACAGAGAAACCCTGTCTCGAAAAACCAAAAAACCAACAACAGCAACAAAATTCAAGCTGAATGTGAATAATTAAAATAGAACATACTGAATTCCGAAGTAAAACTTAACCTCTATCTTGGTTTGAACTTGCAGGTCCTTGCTAAACACAAAGGGTTGCAATGGGATAAAGTCCTACGGCTAGAAGAAGTGCAAACCAAACTAGGAGTAAGTCTGGAAGAAATGCTGTTGGTTACAGAGGATGCACTTCATGCTGAACCCTATAGCAGGGAGGAGATCTGCAGGTGCCTGGGAATTAGCCTGGAGGAACTCCGCACCCAAATCCTGAGTCCAAATACTCAAGACGGTGAGTTGGCTGGAGAGAGAATGGCGTGGCCCATTTGCCACACACAGGTGGAGGTTTTCAAACTTCCCCATGGATATTGCAGATTTAAAATTGTGTTTTAAGGGATTTGGAGAACTGTGTGCTTTGGCTAACTGGCTTGCCTAGGTCTTTAGCTTCCTGCCTACCTACTTATCAACATATATTTCTAGTGTGTAGCAGGTGTTCTGTGTCTCAGGAGACTCTCAGCATTCTAATTCCCTCCTTTTGTGTTTATTTTTTCTGATTCACTTTCCATTTATATTATTAATATAAAAAATAGGTTACAGCATTACTTGTAACTGCTCTAATATTACTCTGGAACATCAAGAAGGTCTTCACTGCTTTTGTTGAAGTTTGCAGCCTGCAAAATGCAAAAAATGGCAGGTTGTTAGTATTTTTGGCTGGTTGCCTTTGAATAGAGCTGTTTTTGTCTAATGGTATCAGAAACAGATGAGGATGGGGTACATTTTAGAGGGCTGTCATGAAGTCTTGAGGTGTCTGTTTCTCTTAGAAGGAAAGGGTTCCTATTTGTGGGAAGCTGGGGACCTGGGCAGCTAATTGAGATTTAATTTCCTGTGAGGGGAAGTTAGGGAGGCAAGAACTTGGTGCAGAAATCAACCTCAGAGCCCCATTGTACCGTGCCATTCAGTTCAACAACACAGCTGACTACTGATCACCTGCTATGGAATTTGATTCTATCTATCTGTCTGTCTGTCTGTCTATCTATCTATCTATCTATCTATCTATCTATCTATCTATCTATCTATCTATCTATCTATCTATCTTTGTGGTGCTAGGATTGAATACAGGGCTTCATGCAAGCCAAGTAAGTGCTGTATCACTAAGCTGCATTCCCAGCCCTCTTTAAATGTTTTGAGACAGGATTTCACTAAGTTGCCCAGACAGGCCTTGAACTCACCATACAGTCCAAGCTGTCTTATATAGTATATAGGCTTCTCTAGCTCCAGTCTCCAGATCTCTGATTATAGGTCTGTGCCACAAGACCTGGATCCAAAGTAATGTCTTAAGGCTGCAACTGATGGTAACGTTGGGACTAGATAAGGGATGCTTTGAGAGCAGGGGCTGAGTTTTGGTTTCTAACATTCTTGTATCTGTTTCAGTTGAAGCTCAGATTTAGTTTCTAGAAATGGGTGAGCACTTGACTGCGGGCCAAAGCAAGCCTACCACCTGCTTTTGGAAGATGTTTTTGCTGGACCACAATGATCTATTTGCTATGATTCTTTGGTTCTGCAAGAGCTGAGTGTGACAGAGACTGAATATCAACCCACAAAACCTGAGATATCTCCTGTTTGGCCCATTGAAGGAAAAGCTTGCTGATTCTTACTCCAGAAAAGCAGTTGACTCACATTTTCTCCATTTTGCCATGAAAAAAGGCACAATGGGGGGTCCTCCCTTAGAGGGGCAACTGTGCAATGCAAATGAACAGAGTTCAGTGCTGGGGAGATGAGTGTGGTCATTGAGGTCTACTTGGGAGACCAGAAAGGAGAAGTCTTATTGGATTTCCTAAGGATGGAGTAGCTACTGAGGGTTAAAGGGCAGATACATCCCAGGCAGGCAGGATGGCAGGTGCAGGGCAGAGGCATGGAGAGGGCTCCATGCCAGAGCAGTACATAGAGCAGAGTGCTTTTGGAACTAATGTGTGCAGTGGTCAGGGCTGTGCTGGGAGGCAGAGGCTGTGGACAGACCCAGCTCTCCAAAGCCTTCAGCAATGTGCTGTGCACATGTGTGCTTCCCAGGTGTGTGTTCTCTCATAGGTGGAGTCTAGATTTATAAATATATGCGACACTAAAGCAGAAGTAAGGCTATTTAAGGGGAGGAAAGGGACGAGTGGAATGATGGATAGGAGCGGGTAATGCGGGGTTGGTATGAACATGATACACATGTAGGAAAATGTTGCAATGTAACTCATTATTGTGCACACTGATTAAAATTAAGGTTTGCTAAATCAAGAAATTGAATAGAACGTTGGAAGGGGGAGCATCGAAAGTGTCTGACTTTCTCTTTTGATTTTGACATTGTCTAATTTAACTCGGCAGACAGGCTGGAGTAGGTAGGGTGAAGTCTTTACCTCCCAGTGAATCAATTTCTCAAAGGCATAAGTGCCACACAGCAATCTGGAAGGTACTGGCTAGAATCAGGGTGTTTATCAAGAGCCCTTCGAGCCTGGAGGAGATGAGTGGCTTCAGTTCAGAAGGAAACTTGAATTTGAGCTGGTTCCTGTAGGAAAGCTGCGGATTCACCGGCCTGAGAGGGTGCTAGGCCATTGTGGACAGAGTAGAGGCTGAATAAAGACAAGGGGGCTCCAGAGGCTGAGAACTGGAGAGTGTGCCGGGAGGCAGTGTGCAGTGAATGGCAGCAGATCTGCCAGCGTGGATGCCCATTCAGAAACCACGTCACTACTCTACATTGAAAATATAAAGTGTTAGTGAGGGCTAGGCTCTCAAGACAGCAAAGGAGAATCCAGTTAGCACTGTTGGAGGAAGAACAGGAGGGACAGAGGGAGAGAGAGACTGAGAGAACAGCAGAAACAGCAGGGAGGCAAAGCAAGTTAAGGATGTTATACAAGTAGTAATTTGGGGAGACAAGGTGATGAATTCATTTCTTCCCATTATTTTTTTTCCTCTAGTGCCTGAATAAAGATATAGAACATGTATATGTCTAAATGAAATAGTGTGGTTTGGGAGTCGCTGGTGAAAAGGTGAGGGAGTCGTAGGTGCTCAGGAGATTCTGTCACCTTGGCAGAATCTTGTTCTTGGTTCAGTCCTTCCATGGTGAGCTTCCCTGAAGGTTCAGTGGCCTTGGGGGCTCCCCACTACCCAGATGCCTCAATATACTTCATCTTATATTGTAACCTTTGTCCCTTCTGTCCCTTCCACCTCTTGAACCAGAGTGCAGCCATGAGGACAGTGTTGCCTGGACTAGCCCATAACCTTACTTCTCATAAGCTAGGTCTTGCCTCAGGTTTATACTCCTAAAAAAACACTACTTTTCTTATGGGTATTCCTCTTTTTCTAAAAGAAATTTTAACCTTTATGGAAACTCAATAAGTCCATGCTCTCCCTTTAGACATCTCACCTGACTTCAACTATTTCTCTGTATCCGTTTTCTCTTTCTGTGCCTACCTGGTGTTCCTCTTCCTCTTCTTTTAACATTGTTTGGAATAAGTTAATTTCCCAGAACTACTTGCAAAATACAAAGAAAAAATTAATAATTAATATTATTAAGATATTTAATGTTTTTCCCTTAAATAAAAACATTTTTATAAAAATAATGCATATTTCATTTTACCTCTATCCAAACCAGCACTTCCACTGCCTTTATGAATTCCTTTCTAGAATTTTTACTAATATATTACTAATGTTTTGTTTATACTCATTGTCTCTGTTGGATAAATTAATATATATTTTGTATTTCTATTATCCTCAAGGAATTTCTCCTTTATTTACTGAATAACATTTTAAAAATTAGGAACACAAGTTATCACATTGATTCTGGATTCATCTAGATTAGTGTTATTTGACTGAATTTCTAAATCTAGTCATCTTTCACTGGCTAGTTTTCCAGGTGAGTTTTAAGGACCTGACTCTGTTTTTTTTTTTTTTTTTTTTTTTTTTTTTTTTTTTTTTTTTTAAATCTATTTGGTATATCCTTCTGAGTTCTTGTTCTATTTTATCTCAGACTGTAGTTAAGCCTTTTTCTTAACCATTTGGAAGATGGGGCTCTTGTTGAGGTCACTATACTCAGATAATATTATTGGATGCAAGGGTGATAGCTGCCCCTAGCAGAGGGCTCTTGAGGGTGCCTTGCCCTTTCCCAGTGGTGTCTACACATTAATAGGCCTAGTTTTGACTTGAACTATGTTCCCCAGCATACTGGCTTAGAGCATCTGCTAACCCAACCAAACCTCCAAAGGCCCATGCACAATTGTTGTTTTCTTTTCCCAGATTCCTAGTAATTAGATTTAGAAATGTGCATAGCCATTAAAATTAAGCCCACACTATGAAGAAAAATCCTCTGATTCTTTAGGTGCTTGAAATGGCTTCAGACTAACACTAGGAAGCAATTAGGACTACTTAAGAACTGCTTGCTAGGCACTCCAGTGATTGTTTAGGTGTGCGCTTTCATGGTTTGGGATCCTGGAAGCTCAGAGGCTACACTTACTTAGTTCAGAGGGTGGTTTCCCAAGGCATGATGAAAGAGAAAGAGATAGATGCAAGAAGATGGGAGCAGTGTGCATGGTGCCAAGCACAGGACAGTGATACATTTACACAATGGAGTACTACTCAGCAGAAAAAAACAAAACAAACAAAACAAAACAATGGAATCTTGAAATTTGCAGGCAAATGGATGGAACTAGAAGAAACCATCCTGAGTAAGGTAACCCAGTCACAAAAAGACAAACATGGTATGTACTCACTCATATATAGATATTAGACACAGAGCAAAGGACAACCAGACTACAATCCACACCACCAAAGAAACTAGGAAACAAGGAAGACCCTAAGAGAGAAATACATGGTCCCTCGAAGAAGAGGAAAGGGACAAGAACTCCTGAGCAAATTGGGAGGGGGGCAGGGAGACGGGAAAAAGAGAAGGGGAGAAGTGGATGGGGGAGGAGAACAAGAGGGATCAAGAAGACTGAGTCAGGGGGAGGAATAGAGGCAAGAAAAGAGATACCTTAATAGAGTCAGTATAGGTTTAAAGAGAAATCTGGCACTAGGGAAATGTTCATAGATCCACAAAGATGACCCCAACTAAGAATCTGGGCAGTAGTGGAGAGGCCACCTTTGATGCCCTTCCCCTATAATGAGATTGATGATTACCTTAATTGCCATCCTAGAGCCTTCATCCAGTAGCTGATGGAAGCAGAAGCAGGCACCCAATATTTAGGACTGAGCCATATTCCTGGAATCCAGTTGTAGAGAGGGAGGAGGGATGAGCAATGGAGTCATGGGACCTTG